GAGAAATGTTCCCCTCATATTGTGATATTTAGGACAGATCAGCAGAAAGTGTTTCTCGTCCTCTATTTGCTGTAGATCACAGTGTCTACAGATCCTCTGCTCTTGCTCTGTCCATGTTTGTCTATGTCTTCCTCTCTCTATTTCTAAATCATGGTTGTTTAATCTGTATTTGGAGAGGATTTGTCTTTCTTTAAATGGTTTAATCAATAAATAATTGGCAAATTTAGTGGTTCTGTTTAGGGTTGAGTAGCATTGGAGTTTATTTTGGAGGTCAAAGTGTATTTTTAGAGATTCATCATGAGTGTCTTTTTGATTTTTGTCAATTTCTTTAATGATGGCTTTGGGGCTGAAGCTGTAGTCAGTGAGGAGCTGGGTTTTCTGGACTAGCTGAAGAGCGAGCGTGTTTAGAGGATGAGATTCTGCTGAGGTTTCATTGGCGAGGAGGGCTTTATATCGGATTGAATCAGGATCAGATTGATGGAGGTGATGCCAGAACTGAACACATCTCTTCTGGATCTCAATCTTCAGTGGGTAGAAGCCTAATTCAGCTATGCAGGCATCATTGGACGTACAAAAAAACTCTCTCTCTCTCTCTCTCTCTCTCTCTCTCTCTCTCTCTCTCTCACACATACACACATATAACACACAGACTCTCACACAGACTCTCTCACACACACACTGAATTTAAATGTCTTTGTTTGAACGTGTGTGTGTGCTGGCAGAAGATCCTGACAGATGTGTGCTGGACACCGGCAGACTGCTGAAGGACTTGTGCTGTCCGTATGAAGGACTGGCGTCACGATTAGCAGACGGAGACGTGAAGGACAGCGAGGAGCATCTGAAGATCCTCTGTGAGTGGTTTGCATGTTCATGTTTGTGGTGGATGTTCATCTGTGTTGACCGAGAGTCTCTTCGTTCAGTGTTCTTGGCGTCGGAGCTTCAAGCTGCGGAGATCATGGCCAGGAAACCTGCGACTGATGCGGACACAGAGGAGTTGGACACGTCTCTCCAGGATCTCAGAGTTATTTGTGAAACACTGGAGCTGCCAGATCTAGCCGGACGAGACACCAGAGACACGTTTACTGCTGTTGAGCAGCAGGTGCGTCATTCACTGCGTGTGTTTCAGTAGATTTCCTGAAAGCCGTTGATTGCTTGGGCACAGAAACACATTATGCACTACAAATCATCCTTCATGGTCAGCAGTGCTGGACGAAGTACACAAACCAAGTACTTGAGTAAAAGTACAGATAAAATGTTACTCCAGTAAAAGTACAAATGTATTTCATTTTGAATGTACTTATGTATTAAAATTACTGATCGATCAATGTAATTTTAACTTGTATATTTTTTTATATTTAATAACTATATTATATATTTTATATACTGCTCTACTGCTCAAAATACCTGGGTGGTCATGTAGGGTACTTCATGTGTGCAAACAAGAATGTAAAAACAAAATGTGTGTGTGAGTATTTATATATATATATATATATATATATATATATATATATTAGTATTTATTTATTAAAGTGTAACATGGTTTTTAAAAATGAGGAAAAACAAAATGTGTGTTGTTGACAACATTTTAAGAAGAAGCTATGCACACATACTAGTTTGTAACTGCTTCGCCAGTGGGGAAGATGCATGGCCAATAATTTGCATGATTTTAATGTTGTTTAATTTTTACCTCAAACATAACTAGTTGAGACGGTGATACACAGGGCTTAAACAGCTCGCTTTTACAGCAGATTTAGCTCACACACAACGGACAGTCGTGACCTAAATATGATTTTAATTTACAATAATAAATCCTAAAATTCAGCATTAGTAATTCACTTTTCACACCATCAGTTGTGCGGCACTCAAGCTCAGAGAATCTCCCGTTCGTGGCTCATTTTGAGTCAGACTTGTGAATTCACTGAATTGTTTACTGGAGACTCGCTCTGACCACATCTTTTAAATCAGTGAGTCGTTTACCGCAGACTCGCTCTGACCGGATCAATTGAATCAGTGAGTCGTTTACAGCAGAATCGCTTTGACCGGATCATTTGAATCAGTGAGTCGTTTAACGGAGACTCGCTCTGGCCGGATCATTTGAATCAGTGAGTCGTTTACCGGAGGCTCGTTCTGACCGGATCATTTGAATCATTTAGTTGTTTACCTGAGACTTATTCTAACCAGATCATTTTGTTGATGTGAGTTGTTGATTTGAGAACAGCTGCAATCCGCTCAGTCCAGTTCGTGAATGAATCGTTCAGTGTGTTTTGCGAACTGATTTAACAGGTTAATTGAAAAGAATCAGCTTGTTTGGACACCGTTATTGCGTTTCAGTTTAAAATAATGAGTAACGACTTGTTTTTAAGAAATGTAAAAAAGTACAATATTATGCTTTGGAATGTAACGAATTAAAAGTTTCTCAAAATGAAAATACTCTGATAAAGTACAGATACTTGAAAAATGGAACTAAGACAGTAATGAAGTGCAAAACTTTGTTACTGTCCACCACTGGTGGTCGGCCCATTTACACCGCTGTGAGGGATCCAGGGTGACCTCTGACCCCTCAGACACACTTCACTCTGAACTCCCCTGAGGGTTGTGATGATCCTGATCTAAACGAGTGTATACTCATCCTCTGCCAGTGGTTTACAGCAGTCATATCATGCTTCTCTGAGTTAACCACTATATTACTTGTGGGTTGTTTATATGTTGCTGCATTCATAAATACACTTGAGTGCCGAACAGCCACAGTTATGAGTGCATGGGAAATGATCAGTGTCGCTCTAATCAAACAGAACTCCAGAGAGCAACAGGTGAAATCCAGAGTCTGTGACGTCTGTTTGTCCACTCTTGAAGAAGTGTGCAATGTCTTCACAACTGTTCATGGCTTCAAATCAGACTACAGTCACATCATTAACCCTCTCAGTGCTGGAGTGTCTGCTCTGTCTTCATCAGTTACATGAGTAGTGAAGCGGGACGTTCAGATGAACGCCTCCACATTTTCAGAATTCAGAGAGTGGAAACAATAAACTCTCTTCATGGACTGAAGAGCAAGTTTGCAGTATGGCCTCTCATACATCTAAACATCAATCTTCATGGCGCAACCATTCGCTCTCTGTTTTTCATGTTGCTTTTATGTACATATTTTTGTGTAAGTGTTTTTTTTTTCTCTGGTGCAGGTGAATGTTTTACTCAAGCAGCTTCCAGAAACGCATGTCGAAGCTCCTGCGTTCAAGAGTTCCCTCCATCCGGACCAATGGGTGAGAAGAGTTTGATTTAATACATTATTAACAGGTGAGGGTGTCAGATCAGAAAACACCAGTGCAGATAACTTCAGCTGTGGAAGTGGAGTGTCTGACAGTGATGTGAAATATGAAAGTGTGTGTGAAGTGTGATGTTGTCTTTTGTCCAGAGAGAGCTGGAGAAGATCAACGGCGTTCTGTCGGCGGAGTACGAGTGTCGGCGGCGTATGCTGATCAAACGCCTGGATGTGACCATACAGTCCTTCAGCTGGTCCGACAGAGCCAAGGCACGTCAGCCGCTTTCAGGCATTGCTTTAGCTTTTGACAGCCGCTTTCTGTTGTTTTCTTTTTGTTCAAGATTTAACAAATTATTGAAAACTGATAGAACACCATCATTCTTCACCAAGAACATCAGTCTGTCTGATCACACATCACCTTCAGCTGTTTTTCTGAACTCAACAGTGATCTGGGTTTCAGTTCATGTGAATTGGGTTTCAAGAACACAAGGACGCTTTACATAAAGTTGATAGATAACATGAACAACAGATATACAGTCACATAATCAAGCAAATAGAGCAGACAGAGATCATAAAATCCAAGATGAGTAACGAAAGCAAGCATAGAACTGAAAATTGAGGCAGTCTGCTACAATCAATTAACAAAACATATTGTAAATAAGTGAGTTTTGAGAACAGTTTTAAAGGTCTGGAGTGAAGAGACAGCACGGTAGGTTTTGAGGAAGTGTGTTCCAGAGCTTAGGAGCTGAGATGCTGAAAGCCCTGCCACTCACACTAGATAGTCAGAACTTAGCTCGAGCAGGGACATAGGGGTGAATTAATTCAGAAAGGTAAGAAGGTGCAGAACCATGACAAGTCTTGAAAACTAGGACAAGTATCTTAAACTGAATACGATAGATAACGGAGCCAGTGTAATTGCTGTGAGACAGGAGTGATGTGGGCAGATTTTTTGGTAAATGTAAGGGCACGAGCAGCTGAATTTTGAATTAGCTGCAAGCAATTAAGAGCTTTGTTGGGTGGGCCATATAACAAGGAGTTACAATAGTCCAGATGTGAAGTTATGAAAGCATGAGTAACTGTTTCAGCATCTCTGAAATTTAGTGAGGATCGTATACGGACAGTATTGAGAAGATGGAAAAAACAGGACTTAACGAGCTGGTTGATATGGGGTTCAAAACATAGCGTAGAATCAAATAGTACACCAAGACTGCGTATAGTGGGGGAGGGATGAACTATAAATTTATCGATGTTAATAGAGAGGTCAAAATGGAAGAAGACAAGGGATTTAGGGCCTACTAACAGAATGTCAGGGTTTTTTTTCTTCAGTATTCAATTTTAAGAAATTTTGACCCATCCATACTTTAAGATCATGTAGGCAAGATGTTAAAGAAGGAGGAAAAACAGAATTGGGCTGTGCAGTAAAATAGATTTGCGTATCATCAGCGTAACTGGAAATTAAGACCCAGAGGAAGCATGTAGATTAAAAATAGAAGTGGACCAAGAACAGATCCTTGAGGCACTCCACGGGAAAAAGTGACGGACCGAGATTTGTGTTTATCGATGCTAATGAACCGCTGCCTGTCTGAGAGATATGAGCTTAGCCACTGCAGGACAGTTCCTGTAATGCCAATTGCAGACAAACGAGACAGGAGTACAGAATGGCAAACAGTATCAAAAGCTGCACTCAGGTCCAAGAGGACCAGAAGGTTGAGGACACTAGAATCAGTGGCAAGAGCAGTCTCTTAGAAGAAGAGTCTCTGTACTGTGGAGAGGATGAAATCCGGACTGGAATGGTTCATGCAGATTATTTTTGTCCAAATGAGTCTGTAGTTGAGTGGTGACCATCTTTTCTAGGATCTTAGACACAAAGGGAAGGTTGGAAATTGGTCTGAATTTACTCAGGACTTTGTCATCAAGGCCAGGTTTTTTTTAGTACTGGGCTAATCACGGCTACTTTCAGTCCAGTAGGTACATAACCAGTCATAAGGGATCTATTTATCATGTGAGTGATGGGTATAATGAGAGAAGGCAGAACGTTTTTGAGCAGGTGTTGTTGGGATTGGATCTAGCCGACAGGAAGAGGAGTTAGAGTTAATCAGCTGTTCAATCACAGATGTATTGGTGAGTGTGAAGTTAGAGAGTGGATAGAGTATCTGAGAGGCATAGGGTTCTGGAGGAGCAAAGCAAGAAAAAGATTGATAGATTTGTGTATAAAAAAATGACAAAGTTTTCACAGAGGCCAGAAGAAACATTAGGAAAGGGAGATGGTGGTTTGACAAGTTTGTTTGATCTCAGAGAATAGGGTCCTGGGTTTACACTTTGCTTTGTTAATAATAGTGGACAGGTAACTAGAGCGTATTTTGTTCCTACAGTCAGCTGCTTGCATTCGTTGCATCTCTTGCTTTAAATCAGTGTCAGACAGACGCACATGTCATTGAGTGTTTTGATAGAAAAGCAAATGTATTTTTCAGGTGAAAATTGACAGGATGGCCAGAGCGTATCAGCCGAAGCGATATTCTCTGTCTCTGCGGTCCTCGGTGAGTGTGGCTCATCTGCTCGCCGCGCGACAGGACGTCTGCTATATGGTGAAGACCAGCAGCGGCTCGTGCCGAGAGAAAACCAGCTGTGCAATAAACAGAGTACGTAGGTTATCGGACCTTTCTTTGGTTTTCTGTCAGGTTGTGGCTGGTGTGTGACGCTCTGTGTGTGTGGTGACTCCTCAGATCCTGATGGGACGGGTTCCTGACCGCGGCGGACGGCCATCTGAGATTGAAGCTCCTCTGCCGGAGATGCCCGCGTGGCAGAAGAGAGCTGATGGAGGAGGCCGAGGCAGAGGAGGAGTGGGATACGGCGGGAATCGGGGTGCGGGCGGCTGGCGCTCCGGAGGAGACGGATGGAGAGCAGGCCGATGGGGTAGAGGAGGCCGAGGAGGGCAGTACTATCACTGACAGAGTCATGGTGGACGGTTCGTGAGGAGACTGTCATTTCATTTTAAATGAGCCTGTAGTAGTTTGTTTCATTTATCTTTTTAACTTCTACAAGACCAGCCTGAGAGATCACGAAGGCATCATGCATTGCTTCAAAAGCCTGCTGAAATCAACATAGAATAAAGCAGTGAAAAACATTGAAATTTGACTTTTTGTTTGATTTTGTATAAATTGAGACACATCAGTGTTCTTGGCCAAGTGCTTTGCATTGTGGTCCTGCTTGATCGTGAGTTTTTGCTCTAACTGAATCCGGTTCTCTTGAAGAATTGCCTTTATTTGTGATGTTAACAGCCTTCTGTTTCATAACACTGTGGCATGAAGCAGGTTTAGTGGCTAAATCAGACTGAGCTTAAAGTGAGCCGATCCTGGAGTTTGTGTTTTGTGTTACTAATCTGCATGCAGTGTGGAAGATTTTATTTGTTAAAGGGATTTTTTATAAAGGGATAAAGGGATCTATTATGCTCTTTTACAAAGCCTTGATTTTGTTTTCAGGCTCTCATACTAGGTTGTTCGAAAAACAAATTATTTTTCACATATTTTACATTATTACAACACCTCTCTCCCCAGTCTGGCACGAACAGCTCGAATAGTTCCTGTATCGAATGAAGGCCCGCCTTCTGAAATACGAAATGTGTTGTGATTGGTTAGCTGGACCAGTCTGTGTTGTGATTGGTTAGCTGGGCCAGTGTGTGTTGTGATTGGTTAGCCGGGCCAGTGTGTGCTGTGATTGGTTAGCTGGACCA